TATCCCAGGCTGCTGTCCATCCCAGCCTCAGGCGGTCTTCGCTCTTGCTCACACCCTGCCCCCACCCCTACTCCCACCCCACCCCACCCCTCGCCTGAATACTGACTCTGAGGTCCAAATACTGTCTCAAAGGTCCAAATCCCCCAGGTACTCAGTCTCCAGTCTGAACGGGTACATATTTTATTATCAACTCCCCTCCTCCACCACCTGCTAGCCACCCAACACGTTCTGGTTTGTTGGTGTGTCTTTTCTGAACTTGAAAAAAAAAATCTCTTTGTTAAAATATTGCCTTAACTGAGTACCTGGAAAGAGAGGCGTTCTGTGCTCATTCTACCTTTGTCCTTCTCTCAGCCCCTGCCCCCCTACCAGTCCTTTCTGACGTGTCTTTCCTTCTACCCCGACACACACGCACACGCACGAGTGCGCGCGCACACACACACGCGCACACACGCACGCTCGCACCGTTTGTGGTTAATGCCTTTGGGGTGAGGACTGTGATGCCTCTCCCAGGTGCACACCCATTACTTTTGACTCGACATGATTGATTGCGGTTGCTGGTAAATAGATTAAAATGCAAAATACCTTTTTTTCCTCCCAGGAAAGGTAAGATTACTTTAGGCACGCACGGCGGAGGCGGGGAGGTCAGTGGGTTAGCGTCAGGGGGGCGGGGGGCGGGTGGTCTGGGGGGCGGGAGGAGTAAGAAGCAACGGGGTGGTGTTGCTGTGCTGGCTGTTCGTCCCGGAATCTAATTACTTTTCCCCGCCCCGATTCAGATTTACCTAGGACGAAAGGTGGAGTCGGGAGGCAAGAGGGGATGTGAAATTTAGAACTCATAACTCCCCTGTCAGTACTAATCCCCTCCGCCCCATCTCTCAAACTTGATCACCAGTGGGTGTGGCGTAAATATAGGAGGGGCCCTGGAATCACTGAATGCCAAATGAGGGGGGCGGAGACTGGAACGGCCACGCCCCGTTGGCTCCTCTCCGCCTCCAAGTAGCCCCGCCCCCGGGCTGCCCTGCCCCCAAGTTCTTAGCGCCTGGAGTCCAGGATTTAAAAGGTTGACTCAGCTACTTGTTTAATGAGAACAGTTCTGCTCCCTTTAGATCTGAGTTTCTTTATGGAAAGAGCTACCTGATTTTAAGTTTTTTAAATATTTTAATGAACTGTACACAAAACTCTGCATTCTGAGACGTCACACTGGTTATTGATTCTCTCCAAAAGGGGTTAAGATTTGGCTAAATAACGCTTATTCTACGTCGTTACTTCCTGGGACAGTGCCCTTCTCCCCTCCCATCCCCTTCCACTATGAGCACCCCAGCATGAGTTTTCTTAAACTGCAAATACAGACACTGTCATATCGGAAAGAAGGGCGCCGGTGCTTGGGGAGAGGCAGGAGAGTTTTCCTAGGGTCAGCCTACATCTTCCCAAACCCTGCGGGCTTTGCGTTACAGGCAGCCGCCCCTCCAGCGTGGCAAGAGGTAGTCTCACTCCGTACAGCTGCCTGCGAAAAAGAGACGGAAGGCAACGTGCAGACCCGGGAGGCCCCACGGGCCAGCCTGTGGAGTTATTTTTATTAAGAACCACTTTTAAAAGGCGGTCCCGCCTGCCTTCATCGTGGGGGATATAGATTTGAAAAATGCTTGGGGTGGAGGAGAGACGGGTAAGAGACATGAATCTATTTCCTGGCTTGGAAGGGAACGCTCTGGTTAACAACCTGGTTAACATCGAAAGTATGCCAGGTATCATTCAGCCACATGCTGGCCCCACTTTTATTTGTCCAACAGTGTGGTTGTACTGATGTGGGAGGTGTAGACGCGCAATTGCTGAGAGAGCAACTAGGAGCATCCAACTTTCCAGTTCAACCCACTACACACACGCGCGCGCACAGAGGGGGTTGTGGGGGGAAGAGGGGGAGGCCAGCTTTAGTCCCAAGCAAGATGCCCTTTAGATTTCTCTGCATCCCCTTCCTCAACTCCTACCTTCAAGGTACCTCTGGGTCAATGCTAGTTGCCTCTCCGCCCTCTCCCCACCCTCCACCCCAGCGTGTCTCACGGACTCCACCTCGCCTTAGTCAGGTGCTTAATGGACTGCAGTTGCTGAGGGGCGGGGCGGGGGGGGAAGGGGGGGAGGAGCTGCACTCTACCAGGACGGATGGAATGGGAGTGGGCGCTCCTGGCTGTAGCTTTTCGGCTCGTAAACAGTTGGGTGGATCCCCCAAAAGTTGGAGATGACAAGAGGCACTTAAGGAGTGGAAAATGAACACAGAGATGGAGGAAAGTGTCCATTCCTTTGAGTAGAATTCCTGTTCCCCAACACACACTACCACACCACCACCCCTACACCAGCAGTGCGAACGTGGGTGCGCCCCTCCCTTCCGCGGTTTCCATATAAATACAAATAAAGGTATCAATCACATATACATACACACACACCAAAAACATATGCATATAGAGAGATAGATCTATATCTTTTTTCAATCTCTCCAAAAGAACGCATCTTTGCATTAGTAATGGGGAGCTGAGGAGAGCGAGCTGGCAGGCGGCCAGAGCTTCTGGGAGGAGGAGCGGAGGGCGGAAGGCGGGCGGGCGGGCCGGCTGAGAAGTAGTGTTTGCTGCGCGCGTTGCTGTGCAACGCGAGAAGGGAGTGGGCCCCGCGAGCCCGGGGCTGG